TGAGTCTGGGGTGCTTTTATGGTCATGGTATCGACTTCAAGTCTGGTCGTCAGCATACTTTGATTTATGCGTGTGTGTTTTACAGGTTTAGTTCTGCCGGTATGCAATTTTCACGCAGGTCCTTGTTTGATACTTTCTCTAAGAACTTTAGAGTCCGGCGTTTAAATATTTCAGAAGATTTTCTCTTATATAGGTGGAAAGCGTGAGAATTATTAAACGAACTAAGCCTTGAGGAAACATATGGAGAATACTTTATATTATATAACACATATATCATGTGTCTTAAATTTTTGACCATAATTGGTCACGCAATAACGCTTTCTTGCACAAATGTAAATAAGTTTACGTTTGTTGGTCGCAAGCTATTTTGAGCTTTAGTGAAGTTATAAAAAAAACTCAGCTTAAGTTAACGCTTCTTTAGAGTTTCACCTCACTTTTAAAAGAAACCTACATCAAATCACAATCCATGTAGTAGACTGGAATATGATGAAACTTTTTCAATCAAAATTCAATGCGCGTTGTCTAAAATACATGCACGAACGCGAAGAACGGTTCACGCCTGGGTAAACCGGTCGCCGGCACTTCGCATTCCCCACCGCATTTTTGCCGATGAACAAATTCTAATTTTTTTCCGTTAGACTGATATTGAACTAGAATTAATTTTTTTGCCATGATGTTTTTCACTTCGTCAGAAAAATTTAGAAAATTGCTGGGAGAGAAAAGACGTGTGAGAAATCCACGCACTTGTATGTTCTTGTGTTAAAACTGAACTCCTCTCCTCTGTTAAAATCGGGTAGGTCAAAATCCTGACGTATTCCGAGGCAGGGAGACAAACATATTCGATCATCTACAAATCATCTACAAAATACTTGTTCCCGGAAATCAACAAATGCCCGGAAATGGATACCAGTCTTTCTCTTGTAAATTATGTTTGTGTCCCAGAGGGGGATTGAATACATTGCTCAACACAGTCCCCTTCGAGTTACGCCCATTCTATGCTAGCTGAAGTGGTGAGATTTACTCCGAAAATTGGGATTAATTCACTCGCTTTTCTCCTCCATATTTCACCAGAAGTTGGTAAGACTCTAGAGACAACCCTAGAAGACTTAAAGAATTATTTTGGCTTTTTCTGTGCCACTACCGACAGAGTTATGCGTGGTACTTCGTGAGTCGTGGCGGGCTTATGTCTAAAGTTGTAATTACAATTCACTGTAGTCGAACATTGTTCTTGCACAGATAAGCTCACTGGACTATTATAACACGGTTATGGTTTTTATTGTCCCAGCCAGTCTTAGTGCTGCAGTTTCGTCCGAGTATCTTGCTGTTTGTAGTTGCAACTTTGAGAAAGTTCGTAGAGATCGTGACTCTAGTTCTCGTGCTAAATATGTGCTCTTTTAATTTCTACAGAGGCAGGCTTAACCTTCGTCGGTCAAGATATTCCATCAGATTGAGCTTGAGAGTTTATTTTTGGTGAAAAGTGAGAAAATTTCAAGATGCCTAAAGTGGTAAGTACTATTACAAGGACATTTTTGTGGCGTGTCTTTGGTGTGCAGAGTTTGGAGCCTTCCTCGTGCAATTCAACACTAGTTGGAGCGGTATTTGAAAGTGCATATTTGTGTACATTCATTTTCGATTCATCGATTAACAGACACGATTGTTGATTTTCAAAGCTAAATGTTCGTGTCACGACCATGGATGCCGAGTTGGAGTTCGCAATTCAACCAAGTACGACGGGAAAACAGCTCTTCGATCAGGTACAGAGCTTGGAAAATAAGCCTAAGTAACTCAGCTTTCCGCATGCCCTTGGACATTGCATAGTTCAATAACTATTTGTAGATGCCTGCTCAGTTCATACTCACAGGAAGAAAGTTTAATATAGCCTACCTGTTTAATTACTTTCTCAGGTTGTAAAGACCATCGGTTTACGTGAGATTTGGTTTTTTGGGCTACAGTACACCGACACTAAAGGGTTTGAAACATGGCTGAAGCTAAATAAGAAGGTTTGTGTGGAAAGTGTTTATACTTTGATTCTATTAATAAATATTTCGCTCTAGAACTGGAAAAATTAGTTTCATTTCTTTCAGCTTCTGTTGATATATTTTTAAGTATCAGGGATACTGCTGTGTGGTTTTGGCAGATGACTTCTAACGAAAGTGAAGGAGACTGTTTATGTTGGTGTCATATTATAGCGCCACATTTTGAATATGCAAATCATCTGGAGCAGGCGTGGATCCATACCGGTTTCCACCTTTCACGGAAATCGGTCAGATTTTTCCAAGTGGCTCAGAAACCCACGAGAAGGGGGGCTTTACAGAGTTAAAATCCAAAACATTTCCTCCATGGTCCCAGACCCCACTAGAAGCTGGCACCTTCGCTGTTCAGTGTTTTGGAAGTCTGTTACTAGTTATCCAGAGTTCCCATCAATGCACAGGTGTGTGTCTTATAAGCACCAAAATGAAAAACATGCACAGTTTTTTTTGGCAAAGTGCGTAGGAAAAAAGTTCCGAAAATTTTATCAAATTCTGAAAAGCAAAAAGAACCCCAATCTCTTCGGAACTAGGGGGTCCCAATGACCCTTAACTATCAAAACTAGTGGGACCTCTGGTTATCCTAGATCAGCATTAGTGGATGTAGTTGTCACAGAAATCAGCAAGAACCAAACAGTTACATGCTAGTGCATGTTCTCTCTTGTCAATGCTGTTGGACAGTGGTGCTGTATATAATGTATACATTTACATTTACATTTACATTAATTTTAAGGTGTATAATTGTGTGGTTACAGAAAATATCCATACCCATCATGTGGAAGGTTTTTAGGGTGTGTGTGGATGGAATCTCAAAAGCCAGAACTTTTAAGCAAGCTTATGTATAAGCATAGTCTGACCTGGTCATTCTCACACCCCACTCTTATTCAACCATCATAGCTTAAGTTGGCTTCAGATGTTACGATCAATCAGTAATAAACAGTAGGGATGTGTCACAGAAGAATGCCTAGTGTTTGGAGTGGTTGCTTTAGCCTTGACACACTGAATTGTCTAAGTGAATTTTCCAGAGGGGCATAGGCATAGCCTCCTTTGCGGCCATTGTTTGGAGTAAAATACAACTCTCACCCTTACAATGGCTGCTTAAACCTCAACCGCATTCCTTTCCTTTTGATAATTTTTTTTTACTGCAACCACTTTGACGCTTATCAGCAAACAGTTTGCTAAAAGGCAGATGCTGTACGATGGCTTCAATTCTTAAACTTGAATGCCTGTTAGTACTTGTAATATTGTTTTTCTACAATGTTTTGCAATGGGACAACCTTTGTATGGGTGAAACATTGTTTTCTTTTTCAATGTCTGGTTTGCATCAAATTCAGAAGGGGACATCTGGTGCTTTAGCTTGGCGTCACGATAGGACAACTTAGTGATTGGTGGAGGTAGTACTGAGGAAGATAAGACAGAACTTGATGTTGCGACCGCTGGGGTCACCAATGCGACTGAATTTTTCGCACTGCGATTAAATTTTCACACTTTTCACAGAAATACTTTTGCTGGGAACTGAATCTGAGAACTTAGGGGCTAGCTGGCCCCAAGGTTTTTTCTCTGAAAGTTGAGCCCTGTTTCAGAGCGAAAAAAATGTGATTTGGCGTTAAGCAGCAAACGAAGGCTGTGAAGACTGCAAACGAAGGCTGTGAAGGAGACTAGCTTAAGTGGTGTACTGAATACTGTTGGAAATTTCAGAGGAGTGGGGGCGTTATTGTCTTTCAGGGAGGTGGGGAGACGTCTTACTTGGAATTCTCTCCTTGGTACTGCTATGGATGTTTCTGAAATCATTCAGTACCATTTGTTGTTTTTCGTTTATTTTTTATTTAGGTTCAAAGTCAGGATGTCAAGAAAGAATCGCCACTTCAGTTTAAGTTCCGGGCCAAATTTTTCCCCGAAGATGTGTCTGAGGAACTCATCCAAGAAGTCACAAGGGTAAGCAAAGATAATTTTTTTGAGTACTTGTTTTTTTCAATTTAAAATTCAACTTCATTTTCTTATATGGAATTTATAAGATTTAGGTTTTTACTTTTTAGATTCTATGCAGTAGCAAAACTGTGAAAATGTTCATCCAATTGCCTACATATGTTTTGGCCATTATTATTACCTGTAAGATATATTGTCAGGCACAGTTGAAAATGTATGTAAAATTTGTGTGGTGTAAATGCTATAGTTATTTTCACAATTATCCAGTGAAAAGGAGTAGGGATTAATGGAGATTACCATTTATAATCTCCAGAATCATACCTCATTAGCAGTTATTGCATTTATCAATTAAATTTATGTGACAGGCTGAAAATGAAATGTCAAATCTTGATCAATAATAAAGACCTTGCAAGATTCATGTCAATAACTTCCTGAATGGTAACTGAATTTCAGACTATGTAATTTTTCCTTTTGTAGAGGCTGTTCTTCTTGCAAGTAAAGGAGGACCTCCTCACAGAGAAGACCTTCGTTCCAGCTGAAACTGCAGTTCTGTTGGCCTCCTATGCTGTAAGTGGACTAAGACAATTTGTTAATTATTAGAGTAGTTACCTGACTTTTCTGTGAGCAAATAGTCAATTTAAGAGCAGCTAAATAACACAGAACCCTGCTTTACAACCATCTTATTAATACAGCCACCTTGTTATTACAGCTATCTGATTTTTGTTTGGCTGGAAGGGAGCAAGTCATGTCATGAAGCCGTATCCACTTGCTATTCTCCTATTCTCAAAACTTACCTGTATTTAACATTGCTTTTTTCATGTAAATAGCTACAAGCTAAACATGGACCATGCAATAAAGAAATTCACACCCCTGAATCTTTGAAAAATGAGAGACTAGTGCCTGAAAGGTGAGAGAGAAGTGGCATATTGAAACCAGTAAGTCCTATCCAATCCTCCGTAAGAAAAAAGATGGCAGCTGTGCATTTTACCACAATACCATGCGAACCTAATTCAGCCCATAAAGTACAAGGAAAGCCATATTTTTGCAGTGTATTTCCCTGTGCTGATGACATTGTGTCTTTTAGATTTGAAGGTTTTACAACTTTTCTGTACATTTTTACGAGTGTTGTTTAAATTTCTGTGCACTAAGAATTATGGGTAAATGTACCAGTCGCCATCTTTTTTCTTATGGCGGATTGAACAGGTTCCATTCATCTAGTTCCACGTCAAACTTTGACTACCGGTATTAGGTGTTTTTCACTTTACATTTCAATCTAATATGAATTAAATGTTATCATAACGACAACAGCAACAACAACAGCTATTTGTACCAAAATAAAAAAAAAAAGAAAAGAGTACAATTTCTGATAAGTTTTCTAAAGAACTCCTGTGTAGGTGGAATGGCCACCTATATCACAAACTGACAACACTTGAATTAACTGTTACAGTCTTAAAACAATTTGGGAAAATTCTCAAGGTTTGCATGCAGTTGCATTGTCTTTGTGTCTTTACTCTCATAATTTTGGCAATAAATATTAGCCAAACAGTGTGTGACTTTATTTGAGAGTTGTTGTAAAACACAGTAAAATCCCATGTGTAAGAACCTACATTTCTTCAAGTGTGGCAAAATAGGTTCTTATATTTTGTGGGAGGTATTGGCAATTTAGGCTAAGTAGGTTCTTCATTAGATTCTTAATTTGTATCCAGGAGATATAGTTGTTGCTTACAAGAAAAAATAAATTAACTTGGGTTTGGTCTTGGAATATACACAATGAAAATTTAATAAAAATTTGCAATCTAAAAGTTACATTCCTTGGTTAAGATGATTATCATACTGTAACCCATACATAAGAACCTGCTTGATCATGCTTGGATAAACAGGCTTTTATATTTTGGGGTTTAAAAATGGCAAATGTTGTTAGCAGGCTCTTCAATCTCTAGGTTCTTACACGCAGGTTGTTACTGTTGTTAAACTGCATTTGTAATGTTGTTATTTTCGTTTTAGATTTATAACTAACAAGTTAATAGATGATGTTCCTGGTAGATGCTTGATTTGGTGGGCTGAACACGAACATATGGCAAGGTACAGAATGTGTGGCTCTGTTTTGGTTTTAGGAATAGCCTCTTGCTTAGCCTCATGCTACCTTACATGGGCAGTTGTTATTTAGTCACTGTCAATCTCATAGCACTCCATTATATTGCAGAGAGGAGGCAATGATCGAGTATCTTAAAGGTGCACAGGACCTAGAAATGTATGGAGTAAACTACTTTGAAATCAAGAATAAGAGAGGCACAGAACTACACCTTGGAGTGGATGCCTTGGGTTTGAATATATATGAAAAAGAAGACAAGTAAGATTTTTCAGCTAGTACTCGCCTAGAATATTGTTCATGTTTTGCATTATATTTGAACCTGTTCTTATTACCTAGCATGTGCTCTTTATCAAGACAAGGAAGCCTGGCTGATGTTTTTTTTAAAATTTAATTAATTGATTTTTATTATGGTTATTACTAGTATTTTTATTACCAAACACATACTTGCATTACTTTCAATACTCTACCTATACCAATACTACCCCTAACTAATAATACTAACTAACTAATAATACCCTACTAACAATACTACCCCTAACTAATAATACTAACTAACTAATAATACCCTACTAACAATACTCCACTTATAAATACAGTACCTACATTACTTGCAGAGCATACTGCTACTGACTTACTGGTTCGTGTTAATTGAACCTTTCCAAGATGCTAAATTTATAGATTTGTTTGACAGCAAATGTAATTATTAATGGTAGGCAGTGATCTTCTATCAAAAGGATGATTCAAAACCAAATATCTCCCAACTGGCTTGAGGAAAAAAAAAAAATTAAAGTCTAAGAACTACCTCACACTGAGCTCTCTCTGAATTTTTGTATCCAGGCTAACACCAAAGATTGGATTTCCTTGGAGTGAGATCAGAAACATCTCCTTTAATGACAAGAAATTTATCATCAAACCTATTGACAAAAAAGCACCGGTAAGTTTTGATGTAACCTGCGATAGAGCCATTTTTCTTACTGGCTGTTAATGGTCTTTCACTTTTCTTGTGATCAAATTTTCAAACAATTTCGGAGATAATTTGAAAAAGAGTATGTTCCCCAAAATCTTGTCTTGGGTGTAAGTAATTTTAACCATGGTTTTCCTCAAGCAACATTTTTAGGCCAAATCATGTCAGTGAGGCCAGCTTAATTAGCTGAATTAAGGAACTGTTTTTCTTTGTGTGCAAATGAGTTCTGGTAGATTTACAAGGCACAGAGTTAGAATGTCCCTTGGTTACATTTCCAGAGGTAATGAATAATTCATGTGGGATATTCACAGCCAAGATTATGATGTTGATTTATTTTTGATAATCATCAGGACTTTGTTTTCTACGCTCAACGCTTGAGAATAAACAAGCGAATTTTGGCTCTCTGTATGGGTAACCATGAACTCTACATGAGGCGTAGGAAACCTGACACAATTGAAGTACAGCAAATGAAATCACAAGCAATGGAGGAGAGGCAATCAAGATTGAAGCAAAGGTTAGCCTTGCATCACTGACCTTGAAAGAGAGATTGCAAACAAAGATCTGACAGTTCTGGAATGCACATAAATCAGGGTTTGAAAAAAATTTGAATTCCAGCCTGCCTTTGGGACAAGTAGCTCTCAATTCTTGCTTGCCCTGGGCAATTCTTAGTTTGCTCTTTTATGATTCATTCAGCAGATGACTTGCCTGATCCCTTGTTCATCAGGCAAGTGAGAATGAAAAGTTACTTCCCCAGAAGGGAAATCTACTCATCTGGGACAATGGGACAGCACTTTTTTTGAGCCCTGACGTTGCTGACAGTTATCAATCCAGGTTTTAACATGGATTATTCTGACTACCTTCTGACTTGGTGTTAAGGAGACTCTGATAACCTTTGTTTCATGAAGGTTGTCCTTTTGACATAATAATGTTATATAATTTTTTTTTTTACCATAATACTGTTTTTGAATTCTATGGGCACAAAAGCACTTTTATAATTTTAATTGATTGTAGGGTGTGCTAAAATCAAAACTGATTTTCTCCAACAAGTAGAAATTTTTTAAGAGAAAATTACACAGACCAACAAATTTCACCATTTTGCAGTATTTGTCTTTGTTTCTATTTCTGGCAGCCATTGTTGAATTGCAAGACTTAGAGTGGTGGGACAAGAGAACTGGGAGGTGGAGGGTACAGGGAGAAGATAGAACTTTGAAAGCTTGCAAAGCCCGTGAAATCAGTTAATACTCCCATATTAGTAGCAGCGTTTGATTGCTTTTCCAGCTCTGTTCGGTATTGTGTTGTTCCAGAAAATATCCATACCTCCCCAACGGAAGGGATTTTTTCTAAGACTCCCCCACCCCTCTGGAAATTCCAATAAAGCTTCACACATTTCTTTAAATTTTTTGGTCTTACAGAACCCCCCACCCCCCAAGAAATTCCAATCCCTTCTGTGGGGGGAGTATGGATATTTTCTGGACCTGCACATCGCTGTTTCGGTCACGTACTGGGCTGTGGTGTCACAATTGAAAAACAGAATGTGAACATGTTGCAGGGCTGCCATTAAATTAAGTTTAGAGTCACCTGTGGTCTTGTTCTCCACACCTGTAGCAAACTTGTTACTTTGTGGGTGAATTCCATCAACAACAGGCAATTACATCCGTAGCATCTAGGGGGGAAATCAAGCATACTCAGCTGTAAATGTTGTAGCTTGTTTGTATACTTTCCTCGGGGTCACGTGCTACTACATTAGATGAGGAGTACAATATTTTCTACAAATATTTTGGGGCACACTGAACTAAAAAGTGATTTTTATTGGTTTTTATTTCTGGCAAAGCACCGGTTCCAATTTGTATGGACAGACACTTCACCTTTACCTAGCTGGTTAGCTCATTGTTTTGTTGCCTGAGAGAACTTAAATTGTTATGCACAGATAAACTACTAGCAATTTTTTGGTCTTAAATTAGCTTTATTTATGGGAAACCTTATTTTTTTATCTTGTCTGATACTCAGTCAAAAGCTGGAGAAGGAGAAGGCTGCTCGTGAAAAAGCAGAGGCTGAAAGAAAAAGATTAGAGGAAGAGATAGCTCTCTTGAAAGCTTCACAGGAAAAACAAGCAAGAGGTAGAATCTGGAAGTGCATTTTAAAAAATTTTCTGCGTAGGGAACTTGGTTCCTGTTGCTTTTCCCATCATCTCAGTTGCATTAAATGGTTTTCCACATGTCTGCCTGACCAAAATATGTTACTGTTTTTTCCAGTACAAATATATAATCCAAGGTGACCACAAAACTTACTATTTCTCAAAAGTCCCATTATTTACATCAAAACTTGAATTTAGAATCAAAACTGACCTGCATTATTAATAATCTTTATATAGTATTTAACAATTGTTTCATGGGCACACTTTGGATAGGAGTTGGCTATAGTCATATCATATCCAGCAAGCATGTGTGGAATAATAGTTTTATTGAAAATGCCCCAAAGAAACTAAACTGAAATAAAAAATTAAAACGTCCCAAGCAATCATGTTCACGTACACTTACCATATTTGTAGAGCATGATGTGTTTGGGACAAACAAGCCAATGAAAACTCTTCAATTGCATTATCTAATGATCCAGTTTTTAAAAGGTGGAGTTGCTCTCTCATTTTGATTGGTTCTTACTTATGATCAATTGGAAGGCAGATCCATGGATGATGTCATTGACATTTTTTCCTGGATTTCTGGATCCTGGATTCCATGTTGTGGTGTATCTGTTCAGTAATTGATCACAGAAGATGTCAAAATGTGGTAAGAACATCAGTGACACTCGGCTGTCACCTAGTGTGCCACTTTTTTTTGTTCTGAGTACATTTTTGATGTCATCTGTGATCAAGTAATGAATAGACGCATGGCAACGTGGGATCTTTTTTGTCAATTTATTAATTTGAAGTAATGGTTATTTACGGTTTTATGTTGTGTACTTGTCATTGTTATAGAAAAGAGAGAGGCTGAAGAAAAAGCTGCAGAATTGGCAAAGAAAAAAGAAGAGCTTGAGGAAGAAACTCGAAAACAAGAAGAAGAAACCAGACGACAAAGAGAAGAAATTGAGGCAATAAAAAGGAGAACAGCTGAAGATGAAGCAGAGAAGGAGAAGTTGGTAATGTCCAGATGCAAATTAAATATAACAGGGCTCGAAATTGCGACTCACTGGTCGCCAATGCGACCAAAAATTGAGCACTGGCGACTAAATTTTCAGAACTGGTCGCCAGCTGGCGACTCGCTTGCGTTTCGTCCGATAACTAAAGAAAACCATGACACAACTTTTGTTTTTAAATCTTTATATTAGGAAATCAATCGGATCTGGTAGCTAGTATACAACTCACCTTTCCGTCCCCAGTAAAATAATGTCTGAATATTACAAGATAATCGAAAAATATTGAATGTATTTCGACACGTCGATACTGCGTTCACGGCGCGCCATGTTGTTTCAGCGGCTTCTTCCGAAACTGGGATCGCAGGCGCACTTCAACACCATGTGCGTTTCATTTGCTGCGAAAATGGCGGCAGATATACCAATCGGTTGAAGGAATTACATGAGTTTTTACGTGCGGGGTATTAAAATTCAGCCAAAAGGTTAATCCAAACTTTGGATCCTTCATCAGTTGGTGATGTAGGGAAAGTGGATTTCGCCAAACTGTCGGCAGCGAAAAGGCAAAAATAAAGAATGCCATTTTGAAGAAGTAGCAAAGGGAAAATATGCAAGGACCCGTGTGAAAACCACGGACTTAAAATGACTATGGAGACAACCATCACCTTCGGACCAGATACATATCACCTGAGAACAACGGTAGCTTTATAACTAAGCGTTACTCGTGCTGTTGCTAATTGTTTTCGCTCTTCAATCGTGACTTTTCTTGCATGCAAAGGGACATATAAAATCGTGTTTTTTCCGTTGATCGCCAGCTGGCTCCCAAACGAAAAAGTTAATTTTGAGCCCTGTATAAACACTTAGACTCCATATTTTATAACCTGCAGTTTCTACACACTTGTACACAAATTCTACAATAGAGCAGAACATTCTGCTAAAAGAGTTTAGTTACTGCTCTTCACACAATGTAACTTAGGTTGTGAAATTTGGATCAACTTCCCTGCTTGCAGTCACTGGTTGTAGTTAGACACAGATCAAACATTTAAGTTGACATGGACAACATTCCCCAGTTCAAGATTTTCTTTTTTTTGGTCAGTATTTTGACAACAAAAAACCCTAAACCCTTTAGTTAAATGGTTGTTGCTGGAGTCTTTTGGAAATGGCACTATCTAAATAAACAACAGCCTCCATTTGTCGCAAAAAATATGCACAGGTATTTGTCCATGGACATTATCTGTTCCGAGAAGTAAACAATTTTCGGATAGCGTACCTCAAGGAAAGCTGTGAGCTTTGAGGAACAGATAATGTCCAGGGACAAATATTTGTGCATATTTTTCCACCAGATGCAGGCTATTGTGTTTATTATCATTCAAATGTTTTTTGCAACATGCACAGTTTTGAAAATCGGGGAATATCACGCAGTTATTCCCCAGTTTTAGCTGTGGAATATTCAGTCACGTGACATATTTAGACCAATCGCGTGTTAGCAAGAATATTTGATAGGTTATAAATAGTGGCATTATTGTTATTGTAGTCACAAGTCCAATAGATCTTGTTCACAAAATATAATAAAATCAGCCATATGGGAAGTCCAAATGATGACTGAGTTTACAATAAATGTTACATACATACATACATAATGATGTGAAGTATATATGAAAATTTACTGAGAATTTACGGAAAATTTACTGCAATGATCATTCTTCACTTTCATCTACAACTGCAGTTCAAATATGAATTATATCATATATGCTTTACATCATTTCACTCCTCATGGGAAGATATGAATTAATTGACCTTGCTCCCAATGTGTGGCTTCATAGCTCAGTTGGTAGAGCATCGCACTGGTATTCGCGAAGGTCACGGGTTTGAATCCCGTTGAAGCCCTGATTTTTCCAGGCTTCTTCTTTCCAATTGCTTAAATTGGAAAATTTACTGCAATGATCATTCTTCACTTTCATACGGACATAATGTTGGAGTGATTTCTTGGAATTTGATACCTGACTGGGTAATAGAGGCTGACTGCTTAATAGAGGTTTGACTGTAGAATTAAAACATGTTTGTCTATTTTTGAACAGGCCAGGGAAGTAGAGGACCGGGAATTAAAATTAAGAGAGTTAGAGGAAGAGGAGAGAAAGGCAAAAGAAGAACAGGAGCGGGTTCAAAAAGAGGTAAAAATTACACAGTGTGGTAATTTGCTTATCATTTTGAGGCATGGGTTTCATTAAGGGCTGGGCATCAGCCAAATTGACTGGCTGTGAGTATGATTACGCGCACCTGGTTTGATCATTTAGTGGAAAGTTTTTCTTATAAAGAACACGAGACTAACTCATGTTTCTGAAACGACACCCAGATAATACAGTCACTTTGGCATGCCACACTGTTGTCCTTATATTATGCAGGCTTCACTGTATTTAGCAAGTGATTCTGTCCCAATCACAGCATATTAACTCTGTGTGATCCTTTTCATGGCAGTTTTTTAGTTATATTAAGTGTGTCATGTTATTTCAAGCTAACTGAATTGATCTATCAAGGTAGAATGAAGTACTTTCTAAATACTGGCTAGTATTGATAAAGCAAAGTGGCTCTTCTGTGATGTAGTTCCTTTCACTTTTTTTTTAAGCTTGAGGATCAAATGGAAGAGAACAGGAAGCTTCAGGAACAAGCAGTTTCATTGCAAGAGAAAGTAATGGTACAAGAAAAAGTAGAAATGGAAGAGCAACAGACAGCTCTTGAAGCTGAACTCAGTTTGGAGGGCATTGAAGGAGACAGATCTGAAGAGGACCGATTAACAGAAGCTGAAAAGAATGAGCGACAGAGGAAAATGCTTCTGGTACGATTTGAATTAAACCATGATTATCAAAGAATGCCACTATTACATGTCACAGATAACTAGGCATCTGTCATGGTATGGTCATTCATTGCCCTCTCTGTTGTGTTCTAGGAACTTCAAGCAGATCTTGAAAAAGATAAAGAAAGCAGGATGTTAAGTAATTATGACAAACTCCACATGCAAAACCAAAAAGAAGGAAGAGACAAATATAAGACACTGAAGCAGATAAGGCAAGGAAACACTAAGCAAAGGGTTGACGAGTTTGAAGCTATGTAAAGTTGGGGCCAAAATGATGCAGCCACTGCTAACTAAGGTGAGAAAGTATGTAGTCTAACATGTGGAATCACTTAGCTATGCTTTGAAGTTGATTAAGGGAAATTAAGCACTGTAGCGTGTTTGTGAAGCTGATATTATGCTCATTAGCCCTTCGTCACAACAACACTGTGAGTGAGCAGTTCTTACAAGTTGCAACTATTTCCTTCATCCTGAATAGTAATGTTGTTTAAGGCCAAGAAATAACTATAAGAGAAACATCACATATGCAACCTTTCCTCAACATTGCCAACATGGTAAGAGACCTATGTTAAACTTGCCATGGACTGCCTTGAATGGGTATGGAAGAGAATGGAAAAACGATCTTGCTTATAACAGTGACTAACTGGGAATTCCAAATTTATTAATTATGTGACTGTAGTGTTTGTTCTACAAAGTATTTAAGATTACTTGTTTTTCTTTCTTAGGTGCAGTCAATATTGGCGATTTCAAAGGGAGTCCCTCTCAGTTTTACCTGAACCACTCACTACAACTTTAATCCAATGAATAATGATTATTTTGCACATGCAAAGAATTTGATATTGTCTTAATTAGTTAATTTTTGTATTATGTCAGAAAGAGATATCATAATTATGCTGAATAGTGTTTTCTTTGCATTAGTAGAAATAGTTTCCCACTCGTGTGAGGCCATCAATGAAAAGTGACCTTACCAGGCAAGGGTTGACATACCATGTTCCTTGTCTCATTTCAAACTGCAGTGCCTTGTCAGTGCCATGTTGTTAGTTGGCCCTTATAGCATGCTTCAACAACGTTGACACATTTCAAGTGCATTCACAACTTCATACTATGTTTGCTTGTCCGATTTTATCTCAGCTGGGTGTTATTTTGTGATGGCTTGTATTGTTCTGGATTAGTAGGGTATTTTTTTTTCAAACTTGTAAAGAAGGCATATTGTAGTATCCCTTTTGTATGATTGAGTGAAACTCGTTACATTGTACACTTGGTTTATGATTTGAGGTCCTGTCTTTCAATCCAGTGCTGTCATGTTGCCGTTGTTAACACTATTTCATTCGACTCCTTCGTTGTACAACGTGAGATTTTGCTTTATGCCAAACCATTCGAGTACAAGTAATAGTTGTTGATTCAGTCTGTAACAGACCAGTTAACAGTAAGATGACCTGTAGTATTTTACAGGCAGTAAAGATATGAGCGATCACCTTTTCTTAGTAAATATGTAGCTATTTTTCTGCATTATTACCAAGTGAAGCCCCGACTTCCGTGGGCAAGAAGTACATACTGGAGTACTTTTGGCATTGTGATAAAAAGTAATCAATTTAAATAAAATCAACATCTACCTCTAAAGTGTGGCTCAGTTCTGACTTCCTAATCTTCATCGTTTTTGTAAACTTGTTCATTTATTTATGTACGTGCTTGTTGGCGTGTTCCAAGTGTTTGGTCAATTGAAAGGAATGCTACCTGTTTGGCCCCCAATCGATTTCGCACCCCTGAACGCATTTTAAACTTCCTATTTCGAGTTCGCCTCCACCCTTTTTGAGTTAGCTCAATGGATTAACGAACGAGAGATAAACATGTATTGTGTGATTTTGTTTCATTATGCCAACTAATCTGGGGTGAACTTGATAGCTAGTTGTGTCGGTGTGGGTGCGAACTTGCTGGTTGCGAACTCGCCTGAGTGCGAAATCTCCAGCTACCATTAAAAGTAGCGAAAAAAGGGGGTAAGATAAACAGAATGGGGTGGTTTGGGGTACAAGAAGCGAAAGAGCTCTCCCGTGCAGATTACAGATTGCAGACTCCAGTCTGTGTAGACTGGGTAAACTGCAGACTGAGGAAAATGGCAGACTGCTGACTTTCTTAAGTATATATATTGTGTTATTTCCATTTTCGAGTGCTAACTGAAAACAGGGTTACTCAGGCTAATCGTCAAAATTTGCTTAACACTCTGGTTAGCTTGAGGATCACACCGGTTAGCCTGGAAATCACTCGGATTAGCCTTAAATGACGCTCCAGTTAACCTGCTTACGATTAGCTTTTAACCGTTAAATGATTGATTCAGTGGTCCCCCGAATCAGTTAAAAAAGGCTGCAGTCTGAAGTCTTCATTTTAAGCCTGGCCTGCAGTCTGCATTTTACCCCCCCCCCCGGTCTTCATTTACCCGCAGTCCGCAGTCCGCAGTCCGCAGTCCGCAGTCCGCAGTCCGCAGTCCGCAGTCCGCAGTCCACAGTCTACGTTTGCACTGACAATCCTGCGACCTAGAACCTCGTTTCCAGGATGAGGCTGCCCGCAAGCAACACTTACTTTCGCACGCGTTTCAATCCGGAAACCTGGATCGTTCATGATCTATTCAAGCGGTAGTTTGATATATGCGCTGCCGTCGGATTAATTTACAAATCTTACTTATGTCTTGTGAATGGGTTTGCAGTATTTCCCTGTGACTGGTCCTTTTCGTATGTTATTTTTGTCGTTTCCGAAGATGTTTGAGCAAGGAACAATTATCTGATTTGGGTGATCTTCAGGATGTAGTGAACCACATGCGGATCGATGAGAAGAGAAAAGCCATCAAGACCCGGAGAAATTTGACCTTACCTTGCCGAGGAGAAATAAAACAAGGTACAGACAGCAAGACGGAGGCTATTCGGTTCATATGTCGAGCGTGGCCCTGATCATTGGTTTCTGGACCATCTTATTTATATCTAATGCCTTGCTGAAGGTAAGAGTTGAACCGGCTTACACTGAGATTATTCCCGACAATGGGCAACATGCATCTGTGTTACTAAACAGAGCGTGCATCGATCTTGAACGAAGCGTGCGAGATGAGAACTCTCAAAATCATCAGACGATATAATAGTCCTTTCCATGACCCATTATTCATAAATGCATAAACAGAAATTTAACCTGAGTATCAGGCCTTTGTCAGCAAGAAGGTAGGGGTAGGGGGTGTTTTCTCCTCCAACACCGACTAGACTGATACTCGGGCTAACAGAAATTGGACCTAACTGCTGAGTATATGGGACATCCATTCTATATGCACTCCCCCACCCCCTTCTTCTCCTCTGGCACACGGCCTATCTGATGATTTTACATAGGTTTTTAATTTTGAACCCTTGGGATGCAAACTTCTTCAAAGCGGTGGATGGGGGGCAGAATGCGGATCATGGAGTGTCCCTGGGGAGTATGGCGAAGCTTGAGGTTACAGAATTGCCAATTGAATTGAAATAGTTTTTGGGCAAATGAGGTGAGGTTGGTCACTCTCTAAATTATATGCGCCAGATTCTGGGTTTGTTCAGACTTACAAAATCTTGAGCAACATTTGGGACCCCGTTCCAGATAATAAGCAATAAAATATTTGCACTGTTTTTAAAATATGGCACAGATATGGCCTGTGTTAACCATTGTCGATCAAGACTTCAGTTGAACTAAGCGTAGGTCTTTTCTTTTTTGTTCTTGTTTTCAGAATTATAGAAAATACTTGAGGAGATACAAGGAGTTTCTGGAAAATAATGGCATTTCCCTTTCAGTAAAACAATAAAATATTTGCACTGTATTTAAAATGTGGCACAGATATGGCCTGTGTTAACCATTGTAGATCAAGACTTCAATTGAACTAAGTGGAGGTCTTTTCTTTTTTGTTCTTGTTTTTAGAATTATAGAAAATACTCGAGGAGATACAAGGAGTTTCTGGAAAATAATGGCATTTCCCTTTCAGTATGTCAAGTGCGATGGTACACCATGCGCTTCAACCGGTCCTTTGTCAAGCTTGGGCAATTCCATCCTTATTTGCTTCACATGTGGTTTTCCATTGGCATTCTTGTGGGTGTCCTGTTGATGGTTGCATCTGTGGTTATCCTTTGTTTGACCCTCTACAAAGCCTTTGCCAAGGATTCACCAGAACAAGTGTTGACCCCTGTGGTGAGTTTCTTTCAGTTTCAATATTATGTCTTGACGATAAAATATAATTAAGAACTCTTAGCCACTTAAAGCAACTTAAACTTAGATAAGCACAAGTAAGTCTGTATACAAGCCAAGGGACCTATCAGGCCAGAGCTAATCCTGGTTTGTGTAGCATGAAGTGATTAGGATTTCTACTCCCCCCTGGATGGGATGCTTGTCCACTGCAGGGTTACCCCCAGCATTAAGGTCACTGGTACCCATTTATACATCTGGGTGGAGAGAGGCACTGTGAGAGTAAAGTGTCTTGCCCAAGAACACAACACAATGTCCCTAGCCAGGGCTTGAACCTGAACTGTTAGATCTGGGGAGAGCGCACCAACCATGAGGCCACCGCGTCTCCCTAAACCTTAAGTGGTATGGGGCAAATTTTGTAGGTTTTTTTCACTATGATTAGTATTGCTCAGTCTGTTTTTCATTGTTAGATGCCAGGAGTGAATGTTCCATGGAGCCAAGTGTTATATTATCTCATCACATTGACAATTAGTGGTGTTTTTCATGAATTTGGACATGCTATCTCTGCCGTCAGGTATGTAGATTATTTTTCCATTGCAATAGAAGCAAGTTTGATGACAGAGGATTGTTACGTAACAAAGCTCCGAGATGCACAGATCAGCAATACAGTTAACCTTAGAAGTGGCTCTGTGGAAAATCCCTAATGTTTTTACAAAATTTCCCAGGCAGCCTTTGCTTTGGTCTTTTAGAATGTTTCTGGATGTTTTTCAGTATAATTTCTAATGCTCAGTTGTTTGTGAAGGAGCTTGTTAGTTGCAAAACTTCACATTACTGCAGCTGGAATGTGGGATGTGTAACACAATAACAAAATTACATGCTGACATATTGACTGAGATGATGTTGCATGAAATAAGGAAGCTATAAATAAATGACTATATAATTTTGTATTAATGACTTACCAAATGGTAAACCAATGTGCGAAGGAAATCATGTTTGATAGCCTGGGGCTAGTGGATTTTCCAGTTAGGCTAGTGGACTTGCCAGATTGGCCAGTGAAGTTTCTTGGAAAATTTTTTTGAGAAATTGTAGTAATGTAAGAGATGAACTTTTTGGAGCTAGTGGTAGTAAGAATGACTTTCATGTTAGCAAATTATAGTTAAAGTGCATTGCTAGGGCAAGTCCAAAAGCCCAGCTGAAAATTTGTTTTATTTGCACCTTGTAAACAATAAGTTGTGAATCTTTGCAGAGAACAAGTACGTGTGAATGGATTTGGAATGTTCTTCATGGCAGTGTATCCTGGTGCCTTTGTAGACCTGTACACTGAACATTTGACCGTCATCTCCCCCATGAGACAACTGAGGATCTACTGTGCAGGTGTCTGGCATAATGCTGTGCTTGTCTTAGTAGGCTTGGTATTCCTGTGGTCTCTGCCTTATTTATTGGTTCCAATTTATGTGACTGGCCAGGGTGCTGTGGTACTCAATGTTTTGAAGGTAAGTTATAAAATATCAGAGCTTATAATCCATCAAATATTTTCACTCACATGCAATTGCTTTAAATGCATCATGAGACTGAATATACCCCAACTAAAATTTGCGAATATCTGATTGTTATTTCCCAATTATCAAATACCTTGTGTTGCTTTAAATATTTGAAGGATAATAAGCACAGAGGCTCCTATTTGACGTTAAAAATATGTGCGGATATATGTGACAGTTTCTTTTTTGTTTTCTAAAGGGATCTCCAGTACACGGCAGCATTCAGCGTGGTGACACAGTCCTATCACTGTATGGATGCCAAGTGTATGACAAGCAAGATTGGAACAGCTGTATCAGCAAAACACTCCGATCACCACAGCATGGCTACTGTACAGACATGCTAACCATCACCAGGAAAAACTCTTCAAAAGGTGAGCTGAAGGTAATTAAATGCTCATGCAGCTAGAGCTTAGGGAGGCACGGTGACCTCATCGTTAGTGCGCTTGTCTCTGGATCGAGTGGTTTGGGTTCGAGTCCTAGCCAGGAACATTGTGTTACGTGTTCTTGGGTAAGATGCTTAATTAACTCTCACAGTGCCTCTCTCCACATAGGTGTACAATTGGATTCTGTTAATGGTGACAGCGTGGCAGCATGGCCGAGTGGTCAGCGCGTCGAACTCGCAATCCAGCAGTCCCAGGTTCGAGTCCCGCTCTGACCACTACCTGGATTTGTCTCTTGGTAGCTCCGAGTTCAAATCCTTGGCTGTGCTTGTAAATAGCCAGCTGATTTGCCTCTGGCAAGTTGGGATTCTTAACAATGTTATATTCAATTTGAATTATTTGTTTCAGTAGTTTGCTCGGCCCTACTAGCCTTTTTGCTATAACCACTGCTGAGGGTAAATAAAGGTTTTATTTTATTTATTATTTATTCAATGCTTGGGGTTACTAGCATCCCATCCAGGGGGGAGTAGAAATACTCCTAGTTGCTTCATTCTGCAAAAACCAGGATGAGCTCCAGCCTCATGGGCCACTTGGCTCTTGTGCAGACTTAATAACCTTACCTATCTTTTACACAGCTAGGGCTTATCCCACTGTTGGTGTTATCAAATTCTGTACATAAGCAAATCTTTGTTTACTAATAACAATCTTGTTAGCATAAGCACCTCTGTCGGTCCCTTTGATCAAGCTACAAATCCCTCATCAGGTAACAAAATCAAGCTCAATAAAAGTGGTAAGATGAAGTAACTGTCAAGTGAGTAAGTGGGGGAGCATGAGTGGACAGGAAAATATTTGGCTTTTGGTCATACTTTTTTTGGCCATAGACCTTGATGGTTTGAAAAATTTGAGGTTAAATTTCTCTCAACTCTTTGCCATGGGAGCAAAAATTTGTTTAAATAAATGGCAGGTGGGAAAAATCAGGATTTCAGTGTACCTTAAGTACATGTTATGAAGGGCAATTTGACAGTTGAACTCTTCAGTCTTTGTTTAGTTATCATGTGCAGTGTTTTGGCAGTGATAAACATCAAATGAAGCTAGCTTTTTTGTTTGTTTTGCATACCTAAGGTGCTATTTACAGTGGAGGGGTATATGACTGCTGTCAGAATTCGACATCTTCAAGATTCTGCTTTAAATATGGGTCTCTGAGCCATTCAAAGGTATAAATGAATTTCAACTGATAATTATGTAAGATGAACCTGTCAGTAACTAATAACATTTAGTAACCATGCAGATCTGAAAGTTGTCTTTTATGTGGAAATCAGTTGGAGAACCGCGTGTGTTCTTTACTGGTAATTCAAGAGTTTCTAATAAAAGTTTTTTTTTTCATGAGCACATGAGATAGTTTTAAGAATTTTTTAGGTCTTTAATAATAATTATTGTAGAGGATAAGTTTGACATTATTTTTTGGTATCTAATATGTCATTTTTCTGATGACGTAGTTTTTTATCATCTGTTTTCTGCTAGGGGTATGCTTGTCTCCCTGCAAGGAGCACAATGCAGTCAAGACAACTCTGCAATCAACCAACTGACTGTGATGGACCAGGTAAAGATAGAATCAAGGCTTCAACCATTCTTCTGTCTGCAAAGAAGGTTGTGTCCAATAGGCATTTTATAACCTGCACTAGGTGTAGTGGATTTTGCAGTCAGGAAATTTTACCTAGTACCTAATGGGCCAGTGAAGTTTTTTTGGCGGAAATGTTTGAGAAAATTCAAAATATAGAAATACTGGAAGAGATGAAATGATTGTCAGTATAAACGCAATTTAAAACCATCATCATCAAAAGATATACTGATATTTATCAGTGGAGTTGGCAGTAAAAGATGAACATCTACCTGTATTTAAGGGAATTAGAATTTTGAATATCAAGGTTTGAAAGAAGAGTTGAATATTTCCAAACTTGTTACTGGTCATCAGCTTTTAATGGCTGGTATTGTTAGCACAATCATCAAACTGTGCTGTAACCCACAGGTGATAAAGTTTGTGTTCATCCATCTCTGGATAACTCCAGTCGGCTGATAAGGATCGTAAGAAGTGAGGGCTTAGATGTGCTGTATGTGGGTGACCCTCTACTCCTTCAGTACACAGGTAACCAGACGTGAAAAGAAAATAATATTATTAATTTAATTAAAACTAAATGTAGCAGATGATTTTTTGTGTGTGTTGTGCAACATGTATTTATGTTTACCAGAGTGGTAGTTCTTTCAGGTGATTATTTTGTGTAATTAGTTGTGTAAATGGATACCAGTGAATTTAATGCTGGGGGTAACCCTGCAATGGACTAGCATCCCATCCAGGGAGGGAGTAGAAATACTCCTTGGCTAGTGGTTGCTTCATGCTACAGAAGTTACCAGGATAAGCTCTAACCTGGGGGGCTGCTTGGCTCGTCTGCAGACTTAACGTTAAAATGTTCTTAATGTTTTTCTTTTTCAGTTGGAGTGATTAATTATCAGCCTCGGAGCATACTTCTACCCATGGAAATTCCTAATATGTTAGAAATGTTCTTAATGTATCCTTTTGAGTGAACAAAGAGAGGATTTACCTGTTAAGCAAATGGAGGGTTTGTAAGCACCACTGTTTCAGAGATTTCAAGGCATAGCTTTACCTTTAGGTCTTTCTTTACCCTATACTACTTTCTTGAGATGAACATCAAGCCAAGATCCAGTGGTAACCTGCATAGCTGGTGGTTTCTTTGGGGTTTTGTGGTGCCTGGTACAGAAACACATGGTGTAGTGGGTAGTGCAAAAATGGGTGGCATAGCTGCAAAAATAAATGACAAGAAAGAGGTTTCTCATCAGCATTCTTCTTGCAGCTTTGCCACTTGTTTTGTGGTTAGAGGATAATGCTGCAAGGATAAAGCTAAGAAAACCCTTTAAGTTAAAGGCTCAGGAACAAGTTCAGTCAGCTTATCTGGCTTTTACACTTCCAAAATTACTCTTAAGTCTTTTTTTTACATGTCAAATTTCAAATGGATTTAATAAGTTCTCTCCAAGCTAGTAAAATAAACTGGCAGCCAGCCCTTAGCTACATTAGTACAAAATAGAAACACTGATTTGGGGGGGTTAGGGTTAGGGAGGGTTGATATGGGATCCTGGCAGGGCTAGGGTAGGTTTAGGAACTGAGGGGGGCGGAGGGTGTGCATGTTATTCCTTTTAAGAACCTCCCCAAAAAGAAAAAAAAAAATAAATAATAAACAGGTTTGAAAAATTTGACATAGGTTGAAATCATTCTGACTTAAAGAACAAATTAACCTACAACATTCCCATTCACTGTGGGCACTTTCTTTAACCATTGATCCAACTGACTGTCTCCTTGACTATGTAAAGATATTTAGTGTCTTTATCTGGAGCCTTAGCCTTACTAAACATGGTTCCTTGTTATTCACTGGATGGGCAGTGGGCATTATTTGCTCTGGTAGATCACACTCTCACCTCAGTTATACCAGATGAAGATCAGAGAAACATGCTTTGTAATGTCATCCTTACACTTGGAACTCTGTTGCTTGCGGCAAACATCATGTTGGCTCTGTGGACATTAGGAAGTACATAGATGCAACAATTTGAACAGAGCCTCAAATACAATTTATTGTAAATTATAATGCTTGACTACATCCAAATGATATACATCCCTGTACAGTCGAACCCCTAAAAGCAGCCACCTTTTTTGCGGCCACCCCTATTAGGTGGCCGGTAATCAAAGTCCGGATGAGGGCTTTTCTATTGTTTTTACCTTTATTAAACGGCCAGCCCCCTTTGAGCTGCCACTATCCATTTCTCCAAGGGTGACCATTTAAAAGGAGTTGAACTGTATTTTATAAGAGCAGACAACTTAAAACCTGAATTTTAAAAAACAGATTTTTTTGTTACAACACGGATTTTGACCCCAGTTAAATTCACCTTTTTTGTTTGGGGCAGCAGAGGGAAATTACTGTAAAATTCATATTTTTTGTTATGTATTCTTATATAATTTTTTCAACCTCTTCATCCCTAGAGTGCTTTTCTATAAAATATTTGCTATTTTTGCAAAGCAGAAACTTTTTCCCCATCTTTCAGTACACCTCATGGCAAGTATGCAATGTGGATCAATTTTTTTGCTTGTTCAAAAAAAATTTTTTTTGTAACCTCATTCCTTTGCATTTTAACTTAGAGCAGGGGTAGTGTTTAACATTAAAGGGGTGGAGATGCTTCTTACATGGAAAATTTGAATTAAACTTCTAAATGAAACCAGTCTGGTGTTGCCCAGCTTTATTTAACCCCTGAAAGGCACCAATCTAACAGACAGATGCTAATGATTGATGTTGTAGATGAGTGCTTTCATGTTGAGAGAATTTTAAAGATTAAGTTGTTACATGCCTGAGCTGTCTTTGCTGGCCCACCAACACAGTAGAAAATTGACACGTTTGTTTACTTCTTTGCATGACAAAATGCCTTAATACTTTGAGAAGTAACTTATAAGATTGGTTTTCCGTCCCAACACCCTATGCAACCCTAAAAGGGAAAACAAGTACCCCACCCCTTTTCTAATAGGAGACCCCTGAGATGTTTTATCATGGAGCAATTTCATAATGGGAATTAGACCTCTACTGTTGTCTTCATATCCCGATCAAATTCATCCAGCACATTTTACTACCAGTTTTTGTACTTTGGGTTTTCAAGACATACCTTCTCAGGGGTGAAATAATATGTGATCTTTATCAGAGTAAGAGGACACACATAGTTTTTACCTACATTTTGTGCAAGTTTGGATTTATTTTGTCAACCCTGGTTTACTCCAGGTTTTATGAAGTTTGCAGTAGAAGACTGGAAAAATATCTAGCACTTTTTTCCAGGTGAAACACTATCTAGTTAACAACAAGACTTCTGATAGTCTAATTATTATATTATTATAAATTATAAATTAAATTATGTTCTATTATTAAATCATAAATTAATCATTGGGAAATTCCTTGTTGTGTAACACAGACGAACACTGGTAATAAAGTGATATTTTTGTCCACTTAAGAAGTGATCTCTTCTTAAATTACATCCAAGTTCAAGGGCCTGTATAAATGGAGGGGGTGGGAAGGGTGCCCGGCTGAGTTACCCTGAGAGCAACTTTTCATACATTTCCTCAGAAAACACATCGATACATTTACGCGATAGACCGGTTCACACGTTCTCAGAGCTCCCATTCTACTTGCCCAACACCCCTCCAGCAGGGCTATCTTTTTGCCATGTAAATGGTTGTGCTGGGTTACCCAGCTAGCCAAGGCATTATATTGCAGCATTATATTCCAAGACAGCGTGACTATGCTCAATTAGTAGTAGAGTGCAAGATAAAAGCCCTAGACATTGAAAAAGTGGCTGCCAGCAGAATGAGTGATAAAAAATAAACCCTTACTTGTTGTTCTTAGCAGCTACTTGAAAGAAAGCACACTGCTTACCAGTATTCCGCCTAGGTGAGTTGAATGTAAAGTCGGGCCATGTTTTACCCCTCCTAGCTGGCTAGCCCAGCTAGCCAGAGCACCCTGCCTCCATGTAAACAGGACCTAATATACGAACACAATTTTATTGTATCTTACACCATCTTATTGGATTGCCAAGTTACCACTCAAAATGAAAAAATCTGAGAAAAAGAGAGCATATGTTGGTGTCTAAAATTGTCTGTTGTCAAAAAATATCTGACAAATTTCTGCATGGTTAAACCATTTTGGTGTCAAAGTATTGGGAAAAGTTGAAAGTATAAAGAAAGGATTTCATTCTGAGCGATATTTGCAGCAAAGTTTATTTTCAACTGCCTATTTCATCATACATCCCATTATATGAATAATAATGAAAATCTATATACAGTCTTTCTGTATGTCCTCTTCTATGGAAGATTTTATGGATAGGATAAAGGCCAGCCTTCAGGAAAAGATATTAGCAAAGTACAAATTCAGTGGAACTTTACTGAGAAATGGCCTCTGTCTGGTAAATAGAGAGTTTATATACATGGAAATGCATTCTCATCACGATAAAAGAGAAGGCCAGGTACTTCTAGTCTTGAAATGTTCAAATGAAAGGTACTTTGTGAAAGGCTGAAAAACACAAATAATAAATGCAGTCTTTGCTTATTCTTGTTCAGCTTCAGCATCATCTGCTGGTTCAGGATCCTTTGGTCCTGATTCTGCTGGTGTGACAGCAGGAGCAGCTTCACCACTACCATCCTCTCCAGCAACACTATCTTCATCAGGTTTATCAGCTGTTTCTCTACCATCAGCTTCACCTTCCTGATCACCCTGTTCTGCTGCCTGGGCTTTGGCCTCTTCTGCAGCTGCTTTAGCCGCAATCTCTTCAGCTTTCTTTCTTTCTTCTGCTGCCTTGGCTGCTGCCTCTTGCTCCACAGCAAGTCTAGCAGCTTCTTCGAGCTTATGATATACTTCAAAGCGTCTTCGGACAACATCTCTTATGATTGCTGCAGAGTCAAACAGGAAAAAAGAAAAGTAAGAAACAAACGTCAGAAACATTGCACAGAAGAAAATAAGAACCTGGGGATTGGTAAACATTTTTTGGAAACCCATGGGGATAGAAGTTTCCTGGAAAAAAAAAAGCCGGTTTTGCATACTCCAATTTAAGTGCCATGATTACCTCATAGAAATGCTACTCATAAAAGAATGTAATCCCAGTTTAAACACACAGGCTGACTCCATTCATGCAGAACTCTTTGTCTGAAAGAATATTCTTACCAATTTTATTCCTCTGNACAATAACCCAGACAAGCGATGAAACCTAGACTGTTTGATTTGGAATTTGGAGTACTGACAATTACCATAGATTGTGCATCTCATGATTTATACAGTGCATGGCATTACATTGTATCATTCAACCAGGCAGAGCCAGCACTCCATGTGGTTTTTTGACAAAATCGACAGCTTTTAACTCAAAGTATGACAACATACTTCTCCCTCCAAAATTTGTGTTGCAACATCCACTCCACTCTTTGCTGGGATGAACAACGGAGAAGGAGGGCGATCAAGAAAGGCGTCAGTCTGTGTTTCAACATCGGCTTCTTCAACACGATCACTTAATTCCTCCAAATAAAGCTCTGTTTGTACATCAATATGCTTCCTTCCCTCTACAGGTTCTGGTGACCTTGGTTTTAACTGCGCTTTTGCTCGTTTTCTGGCAATAGCTCTCCTTCTTGCTTCTTGCTGTCTCTGAATTTCTATAGGATCAGGCTGAGCAGTCTACAAAGGCAAACACAAACACAAGTTGGACATACACTTTTTCCATAAACCAGAAACGATAGATAAGGAAACTGTGGACTTCTGAATCAACTAAGGAAAAATAATGTTCAGGTGCAGGGACAACCCTTTGTTTGTGGAGACATATGAACAATGTACAGCTAATATCACTGGTATCCTTAATTTTATTTTAAAAAATGGTCAAGGTCAAATACAAAAACACTCCATAATGAAAACTCAAAATTTGCTTCATACCTTTTCCAACCACCCACCTCACTGCACTCCAAATCATAATCCCCCCAAAATACCTTGTTACATTGTTTCCCCCAAGACGAGCTGGTAACTTGCATTTGAGAGACGGTATTAAAGGGGGACTAAGATTCTGTCTTGTGCATGAGTTTTAACAAATGTACTTTCAACAACAGATTTACCACGTATTCATCAAACATACACCCTATACCACACCCCCTGGGAAAGATCAACCCAACATCACACGCCCTGGGAAAGAATAGCAAGGGTTTTCCCATTTGAAACTTACCGCCGGTAAAGTCCTTTGAGCATAAGTGTTACCCCTGACAATTCTGCGATCATACATGATGTTCCCGTAAGGTGTAGGACTCTCATTTCTGCAAAAGCCCAAAACAGAACAGGCCATAATATAAGTTCTGACTGCACTAAAAACTTTTAAAAGTCAAAACCAGAATTTAGACATATTAGTTGAACCATTTTACTGCCAAATGTCAATTTTCCAAATATCAAGTAAGCTATAACAAAAAAGTGACGTTTGCTTTGCTCAGGTCAGGTTGAAATACTAAGCTTGTGTTGAACTCCTAGTGTAATTTGGTTTATTTGATGTTTTACAACACTTGAACAAATATACTTGATATTTCGATTATGTGCAGGGCTTTTTCCTCACAGAACAAAACCTTTATGAGTAGAAATCATCTGATGCTGGATGATACAACGACAGGAGGTCTCTCTTCATACGATTAGTGTAATACTAACTGTGCAAATCAACTAGTTGCAAAAGACTTTTTTCAAGCTCTCCAGATCAAGATATTGAACATACGCCAGTTTCTTCAGTACGATTCTCACGACAGAATCACTCGAAAAAGCTTATCGCAAAAAAAAAAAAATAATAATACATTTTTAAAAAGTTAATGCTGTTACGCGACTTACTCTTGCGTTAGCGGATCGCGAAATTTTTTCCTCTGTTGAACAGGTCGGGGCTGACTTGCAAAAGTGTACGTTCTGGTGCCGTCTCCTTTCTGAGCGACAACGGCTGCCATGCTTTACTCTGTTTTAGACTCAATTGACGATATGAATTGTTAGGAATAATTTAAAACGGAAATATCGGTCGAGAGAACCTTACGATGTCCAAAGCATTAGCTCAATTTCTCTCGTTATGAAGTGTCCTCAACAACATGGCGTTGCCAATGATTCTGTTTGGAGGGAACTATACGTCACAGTTGCCATGACAATAACAATTGTCATCTTCTGGCGGTGAGCAGCTGGATTTAAACGGTGATTTGATTGGCTGTAATTGGGACTCAAATAAGCCAATCAGAATACATTTTAGAAACACATTGAGAAATTTTAATAATGGCGGACGCAGCGAGGCATTTTGGAGGTAATGAACTTGATCATCCTGAAGTTCTTTCGAGAGAGCGGCTCCTAGAAATTTTGTGCGAGAGATCTTTGCGCCAGGAAGATCTTGTGAATTTAGAGAAAGGTGATCTAGTCCAGCTGTTTTATAAATACGTCACGCCATTGCCTCAAAGACTCCATCAACTCCGCCGTGCGAAAAGGATGATACCTTGTGGCAAATCTGAAGAAAGTAATTGTTCAAAAGGAAGAACTTCTAAAGTAGTACGGTTAAGGAAAAGGTAAGGGGTTGTTTAATCGAGAAACCAGCAAATCAGTGGTGTTAGCTGTCTTGATTCTGTCTTGATTCAGACCACAATTGAAGGCAGCGCGCTTGCATAGCGGGCAGGTGGTAGTTAGCTTAGATTTTATTTACTCGCCTTGCTTTCAAACCCAGTACTTTGATGAAACAGTGGTGCTACTGATCATCAAGCTTCAAGGATGTATCCCTCCTAGGTAGCAAGCAGTCGCTTTTCGGTTTTTCAAGTTGAAAACGCAATAACTTAAATATAGCACGTTCCCAACAAATCTACATCTGTGAAGTTTGCCTGATCATACTTCTTTCAAAAAGATAGGTATAATCTTGACATGGCCCTGGTTGTACAAAGGGTGGCAAATGCCATCCACTAGAGAGGTGAAGTGCAAATAAAGAAACTGCATTATCCAGTGGATAATGATTACTGAGTGGATGTTTTGGCTATTCTTTCAGCGAATACATCTAGCTAGGTTTTTTGTAACTCAAACTTTATTATTTTTTTTTTTTCGCTTTAATTTCCGGTTTTCATGTGACATCATTTTTTTTTTTCCAAAATAAACAATTAGTAATCCCTCTGAAGTTTTAGTTTCATCAGATGTAGGACCATCTAAGAACTTGACATTTTACAATGTGTAACCTTTACACCATTCCTTGTTATGTTATAGGGGAAGTTTGAATTTCCAAGTTCATGCGTTGCATGACATTAAAATGGCAGCCTGAGAAGGTTCTCGCATAGGTCAAAAGAAAAGTTATTGCTCAAGTTTTTGCTAAAATTATGAACAGTCCTTGTACTAGCAGAATTATTACTTTCAATTATGTGGCAGAACTCCAGAGTAGTAATTTTTCGTTTCAATAGCAAAACTCAGTGACAGATGTTTCTGTTACTTTACGGCCAACATGTTGGTGTCCCTCGGAAGGACATCAACATGGTGTCTCCATACAAAGGTTTATAAATTTGGGTGAAACACTTTTCAAAATAATGTGTGAATGAAAAACTGCACAGACCTAAATCTTGGCGAGGTTGTTTATATATCAATTATCTATCATATCCCAGACTCATGATGTAATTAATTTTTTTATTGAATGGTTACAAATGGTGTGACAGTGTAAACCAGCAATTATTTTCTTTTCCTTTCAGGAAATCTGAAGAAATTGTAGCTACAACTCCAATCAAGATAGCAAGAACAGAACATAAAAACAGTATCAATATTAACAAAACTCCTGCTTATCTTGATTCAATAAACAAAGGAGTAAACTCAGTTTCCATCAATGCAACTTCTCCAACCACAAACACAAGAACTAGTCATGAACGCAATACAGTCAACAAAGCAATCAAACCAAAAGTGATTAAATTGAATAGAACAACTTTAGGACTTAATGTGGATAAGTCATTTGAACACTCTGTACTGAAGGATGATTCCAGGTCAAGTTTAAATGGTGGTGCACAAAAGGTATGATAGCATAGCAATAACCTGGATATCTTCTAAATAATCATTATAAAGGGTTGTGAATTTCAAAAACTCCATCCATTTTAAGTTGGTGTGTATAGCATGGGAGCTGTTGATGGTCAAATGGGTAGGCTTTATGTGTTACCTGACACAAAAAAATTTGGAAAGGAAGCAATAATTTCGCTATAGTCTAACATGCATTACAAGCAGACTGTCACTTCATTTACATATCTTGTGAAGAAACTTGAACTGAAAAATATTTAAGAGTACCATGAGACAAATTGCCGTTTATTTTTGTGGAATTTATACATACATTCGTATCTAGACATTTGATTATTAACAGCTTGTAAACGAGCAAAGCTTTGCAACACATAAGTTACTCTAATCATTTTGAAGTTGACAATGGCATCACAATGGCCCAAAAAATATGTTGTTTTATTTTATTGTTGATTTTTATGCGTTTATAACTTAGAATATAATTATCGCGCCAGATGAAGTAGATCTCTTGTATACTTTTCCATGGTCTATAATTTATGTTGCATCCTTAAGGAAGTTAATTGCTGTTGTTTTGAAATGATTGATTTTTCTCTTTCTGCAGGAAGTTGTTGCATCCACATCATCGAGTGAATCAGGTTCAGATGTTAATGATACTGAAATTAGAAACACAAAAAGGAAATTTGAGAAAATAGCCGTCACTTGGCCATAAATACAAAACTGAAGTACGCATGATGACATATTTTATTCAATGTAGATAACATTAGATAACATTTTTATCATTACTTGTTATTTAATTACACTGTAGTCGCAAAATACCAAAGAAATGAACAAACTTTCACTTGCTACTTTGTGGAGATGTAGAACCATGCAAATTCATTGATTTGTCTTAAAATTCCCAAATATTGAACATATGTAAATCAACTAAGAGTAACTGTAAAGCTCTGATAATCAACTCCAGGTTTATTACATTTTGTGCTAAAGGCCTTTTGATTTATTTATGGGAGGAAGGAGGGTGAATTTAGGAGATGGTGGGTATTATTGAAAGGTGTTTTCCATCTGTGATGTAGGGGGAGTCATTTTGGGATTTATTTAGGGTGCCTATTATTAGAATTTTACAGCATTTCTCTTACATATTGATTGAGTTTCATATCTCATGTAAATATGCCAGCTCCAAGTATGAGCTGTTTGTTGAGGCGTAAATAGCTTTTTGATTACAGCAAATTGAAAAAGAGAAATAAAATAAGCCCAGTAAACAATTTGTCTTGCAAATTTATTGATTGAAGTACTAATGTAAAGTAGTAGTTTTTATGATATGAGTTACGAATATTAAAATCTGTATGCGAAAATTTTTTAAACTCATTTTCCACTTTTTTAACACTGATCACATTGGATTATGCCACAATATAGCCCATTTTGCAGTTGTGTGCTTAGTTACCTTGCTNATTCATATTTTTTGTTATGTATTCTTATATAATTTTTTCAACCTCTTCATCCCTAGAGTGCTTTTCTATAAAATATTTGCTATTTTTGCAAAGCAGAAACTTTTTCCCCATCTTTCAGTACACCTCATGGCAAGTATGCAATGTGGATCAATTTTTTTGCTTGTTCAAAAAAAATTTTTTTTGTAACCTCATTCCTTTGCATTTTAACTTAGAGCAGGGGTAGTGTTTAACATTAAAGGGGTGGAGATGCTTCTTACATGGAAAATTTGAATTAAACTTCTAAATGAAACCAGTCTGGTGTTGCCCAGCTTTATTTAACTCCTGAAAGGCACCAATCTAACAGACAGATGCTAATGATGATTGATGTTGTAGATGAGTGCTTTCATGTTGAGAGAATTTTAAAGATTAAGTTGTTACATGCCTGAGCTGTCTTTGCTGGCCCACCAACACAGTAGAAAATTGACACGTTTGTTTACTTCTTTGCATGACAAAATGCCTTAATACTTTGAGAAGTAACTTATAAGATTGGTTTTCCGTCCCAACACCCTATGCAACCCTAAAAGGGAAAACAAGTACCCCACCCCTTTTCTAATAGGAGACCCCTGAGATGTTTTATCATGGAGCAATTTCATAATGGGAATTAGACCTCTACTGTTGTCTTCATATCCCGATCAAATTCATCCAGCACATTTTACTACCAGTTTTTGTACTTTGGGTTTTCAAGACATACCTTCTCAGGGGTGAAATAATATGTGATCTTTATCAGAGTAAGAGGACACACATAGTTTTTACCTACATTTTGTGCAAGTTTGGATTTATTTTGTCAACCCTGGTTTACTCCAGGTTTTATGAAGTTTGCAGTAGAAGACTGGAAAAATATCTAGCACTTTTTTCCAGGTGAAACACTATCTAGTTAACAACAAGACTTCTGATAGTCTAATTATTATATTATTATAAATTATAAATTAAATTATGTTCTATTATTAAATCATAAATTAATCATTGGGAAATTCCTTGTTGTGTAACACAGACGAACACTGGTAATAAAGTGATATTTTTGTCCACTTAAGAAGTGATCTCTTCTTAAATTACATCCAAGTTCAAGGGCCTGTATAAATGGAGGGGGTGGGAAGGGT